ACATACATTTACATACATTTACATACAGTTACATTTACATACATACATGCATACATACATAAATACATACTTTTTTTGTCGCACAGAAGTGTCAAACTCCTTGGACGCGCGGGTGGCTCTTGCCCCGAGGTGGCTGCTGTGAGCACTTACCGTCGGGCTGCACTGCCGCGCTGTGTTCTAAACACAACCTCTACGAGCACAGCCCCAAAACACCAAAGCCTCAACCGAGCACAAAGCTCAACAGTCGCCATAAATACATACATACATAAATACCGACATACATACATATGTGTCCCCCCCTCGGGAATCTGCACGTCTAGCTGTGTTCTGCCCTTCGCTTTCGCAACCCTGGAACAGGAATGAAGCCTCAGAATATTACCATCAGCGTCCTTGTCACAGCACCCGCCCACCCACGAAACACGATGATGGAAATACGGATTAACACGAGAATATTGTATCAACGTATTGTTCTGTACGTTCTTAAAGTTCTAGTTATCTGCACTGAAGTGAGTGGGCCTTGGGCGTAGGTATAAAAAAGTATTGAAAATGTATGTGTCTACGGCTTAGTTACTGATGTGTATTCCTGAAGCGCAGCCTAAAAAACTATGCAAATATTACATGCCAAGCACAGGTCAGTCCAACATGAGATTTTCAGTCAACGGCAACAAAGCACACATTAGTGACACCGAAGGAGTAATCGACAATTTATGCGTTGGATGTTCAACTCATATCAATGAAGTGATAATATCTCACGAGTATCTACATGTTAATTGTTTCTGATTCGCTAGGAAGCAGGGTGGTGTCTCGCTGACGCCAATGTCTGACCGAAGCAGATGCTGCACCCCCCGGGCAGCAGCCTTCTCTCCAAAGAGATCCTCCAGCTGATCTTGTGCACCTTGTGCCTCCTCCCTTGTCTGTCGCAGACAAAGCTTCTGCTGCGGGTCTCTTTTTAGCTCCATTCCCGCGACCCGACTTCCCACGACCCCGCCCTCTTGACCGGCCACGGCCAAGCGAGCGGCCATCTTTGTCAGGGCGTTTGCTTCCCTTGGGCCGTCCGCGCGACCTTCCAGTCGGGGTTGAACGAGGCACCAACGAAGAATAAGGTGCTGGTGGGGTGGCAGCGATGTGTGCCATGTGCTCCGTCATCCCACATTGCCAGAAATCACCGTGGGATTCCAAGAGCTTCCCGGCCTCCTCGTGCAAGGCCGTGAATTTTGTCGTAGAGGGCACGGACGATGCGAGGGTGAAAACCATCTTCATCCAAAGCACCAATGTTCTGAAAAGCTGCCTCCACTGCCTCCGCGGACTTGGCATTTTCCAATTCGGCGAGAGCCGTCATCTCTTGCTCGTTGTAATCAGCGGGACCATACTTGCAACAAAACTTTGGTTCCACTTCCAGCATCATGGGGGTGCTAAGCTGTGCAGTGCTGTTTATCGCACGGCATAACAGTACAGCGTAAGTGTGTTCTTTCTGGGTTCAGACTAGCAAAATGCACGTACGGCGTAAGTGCATTTCGCCAGTCTGAATTTAGAAAGAGCCTGCAGATCCTCAGTCGTGCCTTTCATGCCACAGATATCTCCACCGAGCTTGCCTCGCCTTCGGCTTTGAAGGCACGGTACAGGGCACCTGTGCCATCGTTTCGACCGTAGGCCAGCATCGCCAGGCGGAAGGAGATCTCCAACACGAATCTTTCGGGCGGCCTGTGCTTGAGGATCTTGAAACAGGTCCCACGGGATAAAGGGACCATGGGATGGGATGAGGTGGGCCAGATTTTGCCCCGAAAGGGTGAGCTCTTCCAAGCTTGAGAGGCTGTTGACCCAGGCTTCCAGTTCTTCGGTTGACAGAATTCCCACAGTGTTGCAGTCTGCCACGATGGGCGGCCGCATTACCTCAGCAACAAGAGCCCGCGACCTTCATCAAGAGCCTCTTGGAGTACTCTTGTGCTGCATGACACGACCTCGGCATTTCTACAAACGTCTAAACCTGAACCGCCCAGGCCTTGCCTTCATTTGCTTCCAGTGCGGCCCCGGTGCCAGAATCGCCCAGGGCCAGGGCTTCAAGATCGGCAGCCTCTTCCTGACTGTAGGGGTCATGGTGTTTCCGACGGATCATGGTCGCAGGACATCGCGGACGTCCAGGCGTTCCTGCCTTGCCGCGAACGCCAGCCACGAGTAGCATCGGAACGGAGGACAGCAAGCCCAAGTACGTGGAGTGACACATGGCAGGGACGTGGATTCACCAACCTGGGCATTTCTAGACTAGACCATACTAAACTCTCCTGGGTCTTTGCAGAAAGATTGCGGCCACTGCTCCTGTACCCATGTAGGTAGGTTGCATCACACACACACACACCTCTGCACACGTCGATCGCTTCAACTGCATCTACAGTATCGACAACCTGACATCCCGTCCTGTGCTGGTGCGTTGTCCCAGCCTTGCTTTAGCTGCACAAGTCTACCTTCTAGGGGAAATGCGATCTGCACGTTTCGGCTCAGCGCAGCTCATGCCAGGCTAGCATGCCAACCGACCCATGCCAGCACGTCAGCTTCGCTGACCGTGAGCTGACCCGTTCTAAAGACCACACAACGCGGACCAAAGTGTCCAAAACACGCACCTCTTAAATCAGCTGCTGCCAGTTGAGACTCTTCCTCGCTGGCCCACAGCAGAACCTCAGCTGGGGCCGCATCGCAACAATCACAACCAAGCCGTAATACATGAAGGCTTGCTCCTTTGAATCGACCATGCCGAAACTAGCTGTTCAGCAAGGGTGCTATCTACAGTGCCCCATACCATGGGCCATCACCAGCAAGGGGATCAGGAGAACTTGATGTTCACCCTTAGTAGCCAGGTGATGTCGTTCCAGCGTGCAGACGACCCGCAGGGGCTGGGCAATTCAGGTGCTGGCTTCCAATCCTCGTCGGTTAACGCGTGGACCGTCTTCGCGAACAGCCTGGGCAAATATGAAATGCCCGTGGCAATCGTCGCGGATGTGCGACGGGTCCGACAAGCCGAGGGCAGCTGAAACATATTCATATAAAAGTCGCATCCAAGACAAAGACTCCCTGGTTCCGCCAGGGGCTGGAGAGTCTTGCAGTCTTACACAGTGAGGAGGCGGAAGGACTCGCGGGTACGACCGCAAAGGCATGAAGCTTCATTTTGACCTCTGGCACTTTGGCCACATCTGCCACAGCTCCGACTCTGTCAGCGCGGAAGATGCCTGATCTTGAGACGTGTAACAGCCGTGACGGATGCATGTCTGCATGCGACCCTGGTAGCTTGCGACAACTGGATGTCTATGACAGCTGCACACCATAGTGATGTGAAATTGATTGCGGAAATTTCGGCGTCCCGGTCTGAGCATGAGTCGTTGGGGGTTAAGGCATGGGTCCACAACTCCCGACCTCTGTTTCTCTCTCGCTTCATCATCTCATATCATCTCTCTGTGTCCCTATCTGTCTGTCCCTGTGCACGACTGTCGGTTCTGTCCAGGCATGGAGCTCGACTTTCTTCCAGATTTGCCGAGTTGTGTTGAGTGGGTGCAGAGGCTGGTCGTTTGCTGATGGAAGCATGGGGCATGAGCCCGCCTACCATAGCAGCCAAGCTTGCATGCGGCCTTCAACTCATGACTCATGACTCGGCCTGGTGCAACGAAGCCCCAGCCATGCATCTATCACCAAAGGATGCTTCGGTCTGTCTGCAACGCAAAGGCCTTCTTGTGCCAAGAGCTAGCCGCCCCTCATTACCTCGTGTACTGCAAATGTTCAACCGTCCTAAAACCTAGTCCTCAACCCTAAAACCACCGAAAGAAAGTGCTTGGCCTGCTGCCCCGTGCGATGGCATCACAGCGCCGCAGCTGGTCAGCATTGTACTCGCTCCGATCATGCTCGTAGATGCCTGATGCTTGTGAATGGCGATGCCTGCATACTCTTGAACTGTCATGAGAACACACCAGAATGCAACGAACCATTCTCAAAAGCCTACAGAAGTCTGGAGGAAGCTTGTGGCTGGGGTACGCCGCTGGATGTCTAAGCCGGAGTTGGCCACTGACAGTGGGTCCGGTTTCGAGTAGTCGGCCTGACGCTATAGAAGCTGCAAAGGATGGACTCCGAAGGCTCGCAAGCTGAGTTTGCTGCATCCGGCTTTTTTGTCGGGTCGTAAGAGAAGGCATCGACAACCTACGCATGTGGCGCTCGGGAACTCAGAGTCCGCTTCAAGGTGGGAGCATGTGGTCCGGCCTCGCACTTGCTCGATGAGAGCAAAGGAGCCTTTGCCGAATCCAGTCCTTGCGTTGCAGGTCGGAGCTTCTTGCCAGAGCCTGCACGATTGGTCATGACATCATCTCGCTGGGACAGGGCCACAAGCCTTCTTTGGGCTTGACTTTCTCGCTCGTGTCTGTACCTTGGGGAAGAGACCAGATCTCAGCTTGCATCATTGCATCAGGACCCCCAAAACACTTGAGGCCCAAAGCCCGGAAAAGCTTTGCACACTTCTGCCGCCAGCGGCCGCCAGTCGACGTCGCTGCTGCCGCGCGCTCTTTAGCCGCTGCAGCCAAAGCAGCCTCGAAACCTGGACAAGCATCTGAACAGATAAAGGGTTGCTTCCGACATGCACGAAACCGAGCTGCCCATGTCGACGGACTTCTCCTTTTTCGCCTGATGGCTCTCGCACGGCTCTCACAGACATGTTCATACTTGTGGTTCGTGTTGGGCATGTCCTGCCACAGTCCAGTCCTTCTTGTGCTTTCCCTGATCTTTGGCCGCCTCAGTCAAAGCTGATTACAGAGAATCTCAAGTCTAGACTTGAACACATAGCAGATGTTGTCGCACTTCTGGGGCACAGGCCTTCTTTGCTTTTCGTTTCTTCTTTTTGGCCGCAGCCGAGCTGGAACTTGAGCTGGTTCGCCCCATGGGTGGATGCTCACATGAGGTCTGTGCCCAACCCTTCTTAGTCTTAGCCTCAGAAACACAAGACTGCGTGAGGCAAGCGAGGTCTACAAGTGATGCCGCTATTCCTTCCACCGAATGCTCTCGCGCATTCCTCGGCAGCTGACCGACCATGTGCGACATGCGACCACCCATGTCGGGCGGGTTGGAACCGGTCGCGCCACAAGGAGCTAGATCCAGAATGTCGGATGAACGCAGAACAGTTGCTGGATTTCGTGGAGCTTCTGCGCACATGCTGGGGTGTGAACGCATCCTCATCTTCGGGCTCACTCCGGCGGACCTAAGCAATTAAAGACAAGCGATGTCAATGCGGCAAAAACCTCATCATGCAGGATCGCCCTATGCAAGCCTGAGCCCCAAACACCCCAAACTTCGCCCCGTCCCCACAAAAGGCGCCTCTGCCTCCTTGCGGAGCCCGTCGCCAAAAGGCCGGTCATCGCCCTCGCCGTCCAGGTGGCGCCTCCCAGCGCTGGCACTGCCACATTACGCCTCAAGAAACACACGGAACTCAAAATACTCAAGCCATTTGTTCTCTTTTGGATTCTGCCGCACGCTGGCTTGTCAGTTGTCACCCACTTGGCACGACAGAGTCGGCACTGCCCAGAAGGGCCATGCATTTGTTAATGTCGCGCTTGAGATCGCAAGATTCGCAGGTCAAGGAGTTACTGCAGACATCGCCGTTGACTTGAAGCAGCGCTCCCGGTGGGAACAGGGTCTCCCCATCCTGACACGTTGCCGAGTTGCCCTGTCCAACAACGAAAGCCCAGCCTGGCTTGCCATAGCACGTCTCGAGGACTGCTGCCGTGTTCCATTCGGGACATACGCCACATGCTTCTTGAAGGCCAGTAAGGGTAAGATTTCCGTCCGGCGCGATAGCTAAAGGATGTGACAAGGTCCACCAGTATCCACATTTCTTGGCTGGTCCACCCCAGACGCGATGAAACTTGTGTGTCTTGGACGATCGCACAATCTGGTAGTCGAGGATGCCCCCCTTGCCAGGCTGTTGCTGCAGGGCGTACTTTTGCGCAGACTCATTCAGTGCTTTGAACTCTGGATCCCAAAATGGCAACTGCGCGAGGCTGTCGGGGAGCGGAAATTCGTAGACCACCGACCACGCGTGCACCCTCTCGGCGTCGACGTCCGGCTGATGGTGACGGTCCGCTTTGATTTGCAACATTGCCAGCTGATTATCAGTTTCCCACACCTCTTCCGCTCGCACAGTGCAGATGCTGAGAATTGAAACTGCCTGCAGGATGCGCATCCGAGGCACTCAAAAGACGTCATGGCAAGAAGGACAATTAATTAATTATTTCCGCAAGGCAAATGGGAGCTCCGGTACAGTAAGATGGATGGCTTGTCAGCTCAGCCAATCGCTTCGGCCAGTGGCGAAGCATAAATCGCTCAGATGGCATAGTCAAAACACATGACGGCAACTGCAGCGCTTGAGTGGCTTCGATTCGGAATGTGAGTGGAGGGCCTCGCACGTTGACGCTCCTTCTGAAGATAAGACCTCAGAAGGTGTCTTCCATGCTTACTACACCGACTCTAAAACCAGCGAGACGCAGTCTCCGTGAGCCAAACCTCCCTTTCTTCAGATGCGAACTGCTGTCAGGGGCTCTGAATGACAAGCTCGGGCACGTGCTCTGTGTGTCTCGCCGCATGCTTGCGCTCTTCGACATTGCTGTGGGCTACGCTGGCCTCAGAACGGCAGGAGCTTCAACCTTACATAACGCAAGCTCTACACAAAGGCCTGTTGAGACTTTGCATCTTACGAGGGAGCACGGCAAGTGCATTATGGAGAAATATCTTTGCCAGGGTGTGCGGCGGTTAGCTACTCAGCTATTCGAAGCAGCTTTGAAAGCTGCATTTGCACTCAAGCTTCAGGAAACCCAATTCCCGGAAGCCACGCACAATTTCCAGCAGCTTCGCTGTCCCAGGTTCGGCTGAGCTGCTTCAGCGGCAGCGATGAGCTCGGCAATTTTTTTCGGGCTCCTCCCACCAGCAGATTTCATAAGAGGGCCGGCCCCGTTGCAAACGGGAAAGCTCTCCTCGGAACGAGGAGCCAACAGCCATGCCCGAAACCCCTTCTGGAAGGCCAGGATTAAGGTCTTACATGTAGCATGTAAAAAATTAGGTGCAATGATCCAGAAACTTCACCGTCTCAACCCTGGTTCCACGGTATGACGCAAGCAAAAGCCTCTGAGCAGGGCCTCTCCTGTACAATTGCTGCCGCTCGCGTGCCTGCCGGCCACAAGAATGCTCAAACGCAGAAGCTCATCGACCCAGGCAAGATACTGCCAGCCCAGATGATGCCAACAACAGCAAAGTAACAGGAAACCTTGACGATAAAGCTGATGATATGGCATAAATGCGAATGATAGGGTGCATACTTTACAAACGAAAACGGTGCAAGTGCACGCAGATATGTACAACCAAATCAAGCTGGACGCAGGGAAAACAAAATGCCCACTGCAGCCTGAAGATAAGATGCACGCGGAAAACAATGAAAGACTGCTTGGGCACGATGACTTGGGAATAACAACAACGACTGCAACACGTATAACTTACACCCGTACGTAGTTTAATTAATTGGAAAGAACAATGGCGACAACATGCTCGACATAAATTTTCCCCACACGCCCATGATGTCACTGGCAGGCTCCTGCTGCAAGTCGTGGTAGCGCTGGGCCCTTTCATTGGCCTGGCGCCACGTGTCTCTCAACACTCATCAATACAATCATCATCATCCTCATTATCGCATCATCTCGTCGTCATGATAACAGTGAGGGTAACCATAGTAATAGTAATCATACCATTGATGGTGATAATCATCAATGAATCAAGGCCGATGCCAAAGTTTATGCCAGTTTATGCTGTTGACAACAAGAACAAGAACAAGAGTTCATAATACTGATAAGACTTAAAGTAGATGGGTCGGATAACGAAAAACATCCGCACACATAAGGCTTGACTAATTCCACAAAGTCTGGACATAGTAGCAAGTCAGCCTCCTCATATTCATTGCTCCTGTTACCATTCCACGTTCATTCAAACTGCCGCCATAACTGGGTCACAACAGCACCAGACGGACACAGGTGAGTGCCCAAATTCAAGAGTAGAAACACCATTTCATTGACCATCGAGGCGTAAATGGACGGTGCTTCAAAGAAGTTGCTCTGACCATGGTCCAACTCCGCAGGAACCACTTTTCTTTTCCAAACTCAAAACTCGTCAGCAGGCTACTTACTTAGAGACCCTAAAAAGTGGGGTGTCTGTTCATGACATAAACACAAAGCAAAAAACAAGCACTACAAGAAAAAAAGGCACGAACACAAACAATAATGAGAGCAAGCATAATACTAATCGCAATAAAGAACAATGAGAATGACAATGACAACACCAACGGAAATAATCAGCGATGATGTAATGAGATTCGGAATCATGATGGTAATGACAATGGCAATTCTAGCAACAAAAATCTTAAGCATGAAAGTTACAACGGTGCAACAATCGTAATCATGATGATAATAATAATAACAACAATCACCATAATAACAACAACTACCACAACGATAATATTCATATTTATTTTCATATAAAGCATTGATGTCAATATTGATGCTCATATTAGTATGAACAGTATGTATCATTACTATTACTTTAGTACTTGAAAAGGCAAAAACCTCGACCATGCCTCGGCTTGCTTTTCTCTCCGCATCCGCTCGCCTGCACGTCGCGCCTCGGAGTGTTGATGCAAATCGAACAGAGGAACAAAGCGATGCAAGAAAAAAACAGCAAAACTAGCGAAAGCCGGCGGTCGCGTTTGTCCATGAGGTTCAGGGTTGGGGGGCTTGGGATTCGGACAGGAAGATGGAACAAGCCAAGCACTCTGGTGGGGATTCTCAGCTCAGCACTGCCTGGGCACGAAGTACTTCTGCCTCATTGGCAAGAACTTCTTGGTCTGCCAACATCTTTGCTATTCGACTCTTCGTGCACCATGGTACCCACCAGCCCATCTCACCAAGTCCCTCCAGTGCTCATGCATCGTTAGGACGGCGCTGCTTCTGCTTGTGCTTGCTTTCGCTGTTCGCTCCTGGCCAAAAGCCACTGTGGCTTCATGCCAGCAGACAAGCTGCAGCAAACATCCTGCTAGGATCTAGGTGCATCATGGAGGTAGAACACGTAGTTGTGACTTTTTTCTCTTGGACGTAACTTTCCAGCTTTTTCAGCCAAAGGACTGAGTTGCAACTTTTTTCGGCTCCCAAAACAGCATATCTCTGCAGAGAGTTGAGAAAACAGACATCTTAGTTCTAACTGTTTTGGGTCTGTAGCACCAAGCCACTAACTTTTCTGGTGCATTAACTTTATATGGTGTATGTAGCACCAAACCACACTTTTGTTGTGCTGTATTATTGAACACCAGACCAGAACCTTCATACAAGGTTCATTTAGGGTGTTCGTCTTGGGTAAAGGGTTCTCACTGGATTCACTGATTAGGGCTTCGTGTTGGACAAAATGTTCTCGCTGGATTCACTCCTTAGGGCTTTCGTGTTGGACAAAAGCTTCTCGCTGGATTCACTCCTTAGGGTTTCCTTTGGGTTTTGGTCTTGGGTAAAAGGTGCCTGCTGGATTCACTCCTTACAGTTTTCGTCTTCGGTAAAAGTTTCCTGCCAGATTCACTCCTTAGGGTCTTCGTCTTGGGTTAAAGGTTCTCGCTAGATTAACTCCTTCTCAGGCGGGTGGGCAGGTTGGGTAGGTGGGGCAGGTGGGGCAGGTGGGGCAGTGGCGGTAGGCGGGGTAGGTGGGGTAGGTGGGGCAGGTGGGGTAGGTGGGGGAGGTGGGGTAGGTGGGGTAGGTGGGGTAGGTGGGTTTGGTGGGGTAGGAAAAAAATACTTCTAAGAGGACAAAAACTACATCTAAGGGGAAAAAATTACAACTTACCCTGCTACCCATCATGGCCGCCTCACCTTTACGAGTGAGGTTCTTTACGACTCTAATGTTCGCTCTCACTGCTGCGAAACCCTACTTCTCACCTCCTGCCGCGCCTCCGTCGGTCCTCCTCAATCTCCTTCAAGCGCGCTTCCTGGGCATCCCGCGCCCTGGCGAGAGCAGACTTAAAACCTCGCCGACAGCCCGGAACGCTCAGGCACGTGCTTTTGAATCTTCCTCTTGACCCTAGCTTTGGCCGGTTTCAATCCGGGGAGATCCTGACAGGCATCGCCACATCGCAGCATGGTGACCAGGACAAACTTTTTTCGGCTTGCACCGGCGGAAGGGTGGGCCTGCGGCACATTCTTGCCTCGGAAACACACACAGAGACACAACTCTGTGTGTGTATGCGAAACTGAAAGAAGTGCATGCCAAGGATACGCACCACCACATCAGACATCAACCATCCTTCAATAGGTCACCGTAGTCACCCCCATCCCCGAAACAGCTGTAAAGCTGCACTTTCCGACAATACACGAACAAGAGGTCCATCACATCCCATCACGGGACACCTGCAAAATCCCATGAAAACTATCCCAAGCCATAGCAGATGGACGTGGAGCTTTAGGAAGAGCTTCAGGATGAGGAGGAGGAGGATTCCTAGAAAGGAAAAGTCCGGGTGCGCACCTGGAGATGAACTGCGCCCAGGGCTAGATGTGGACCTCAGTGGGTGTGGTGTCCGTGGTCCTTTGGGACCTCTGACCGGACGCGTTTTGATTCGACCCTCCAGCCACTTCAGCGACGTGCTATTTCGTGAACGCAGGATCTGTCGCTCATGGCCGCACTGCTTGATTTTCGCATGGGCAGCTGACGTCTCGGTGCTCGCCTCACCTGTGCATGAACACACGCCGGAATACCAACGAGGCTTTGGTAACGATGCGGAGTCTTCAAGCAATACACGGACCTCGCTTTGAGTCCGGCCTGGCGATAGGCGCTACAACAGATGACTGTGGAGCAACGTGTCTTTCTCAATGAATCTTCCAGTCAAGGGAATCTTGCATGTAGGGGCCGTATAGGGCCTTTTTTCTGCGCACGAAAAGAGACGGCATGGCGACCCTCAGATCCTCGGCACATGTCGGCACAACATGCACTCCCATCGCAAGCATGGCAGCAGCACGTAGCTGACTCAGACTTCTTCCTCCTCTGAGCCTGAATACAGAGCAGATGCTCGAAAAAAACAGAACTTGGAGAAGCCTGTAACAGCAGGGTGCAGCTCGGCTCTGGGCCAGTCTTTTCTGCGCCATTTTCTGGGCTTGCTCCTGAGAAGGTGACTCGGAAGAAGCTCGGAAACCAAAAATGACTGGAATGCTTCTACAGCCCTCAGCTCCCCTGAGCCGACTACGGCACGTTCGCGTGCATGGGCTTCCGCCTGCAGCGTGACGTAACATCGTACGGGACGCCCCTCCAGGTAGAGGAAACTGGAACGCAAGAAGACGACATGCACTGTAGCACGAACGCGCTCGGCCAGCACCGACGCAATCACCTCCCGCACTTGAAGGCCCACTCCCGCCTCTGCTTGTCGCTTCAGCCGCGCCTCTGTGGCTTCAGCCACCCGACGTTGTAGCTCTGCCCTGCCATATGGAGCAATGATTCAGTGAGCCGCAAAAGACTGAGTGGGCAGGGGGCCAATACTAGGATGATGCAGTCAAGCTAGATCGATGTAGCTACCCTAGCTTGTGGCGACTCGAGTATTAGTCGACCCTCCTTCGATTGTCTAGCCTCTGATATCTACTGAAGCCCTCATCCCCGGCCTGGCGGCCAAAATGCGCCTTCTGGCATCTTCTCGTGCCTGCTTCGTGCTGCTTGCCTTGCGAACCACTGGAGCACCCACGGCACGGGCCGTCTGCAATCTCTCGCGGGATCACCACACACATGATACCAAAAGCGACATAGCAGATTGCAAAAGGAGTGTCTCTGGCAGAAAGCAAATTCCGATGCGCAATTTCCCAGATTCTGTTAGAGCGGAGCTGCAAAAAAAAACGCTGACAAGACAAAGCAGTCCATGCCAGCAGGTCCAGATTTCTCGTGGTAGCAGCGTCGTCCAGACACCGAGCCATGCAGTCCAAAGCAAAACCGTGGAGATCCGTAGAGCGACATCCGAGGTTGAGGCCTTCGGCGCAAAATTTAAAGAAAACTGCTGCCTAGCTAACCATGGGACGGAGGATTCTCAGAAGCCCAGCAGGGGCGTGGAGCAAGCACCGGCTTCTGCCCTGCTCCACTTCAAGTTGTCGAATTTTAGGGCCACCGATCCCACACAGCAGAGATCCGAGGCAGCGGCTCTTGGAGCAGAAGTCCTTGCGGTTTGCGTCTGCAGTCACACCCAAAATCTCACGAAGGCCATACACAGGGGCCCAGCTTCCGTGGAGGCTCAGGGGAGATCTCCACCTCCCACAGGCCGGGGCCCTCTTTACCAAGCCGCCAAAGCCGAGCGGCCCAGCCTCTGCGAGCATTCGCTCCTCTGCAGGCCTTGGCCTGGGAGCGCTCAGGGGCTCAGGGCCGTTCCCACGAGCCCGGGTCTCGGTTGTGCACTGCGGGTCTGCCGACGAGATGGGAGGCCTGTGGATCACTGCCACGGGCTGCACGACGCCACACGTCACACGATGAGTGCCCAAGGATCCGGCAACGTCACATCCGTCGCATTCATCTCTTTCGAGCCACGGCTGGCCTTGACCACGGCCAGCAAAAGTGAACGTTACCGTGCTGGCTTCATTTTTGAGGCAACTCTTCATCACGAAGCTCAATGCTTTCTGCGTTTCTGCACCGTGCCGACACGGCATTATCGGGCAAACCCAAAACGATACAACACGTGCCGGTCCTCCACGGTGCCACCTTCGGCTTTTCCGCCGTTGGCATCAGTCCTTAATTGATCTTTTTTTGGTTTCTCTGAGGTACGACCAACGTGCCAGTATCTGCACACGTTTTATACATCGGAGCATCTGCACTTCTGGTGGCACTGATGCTCCGGTTGCAATGGGAGGCCTCGGCGTTGGCGAAGCTATGCATTGCAGAACAAGTCTCACTTTGCCCTGCATCGAGCACCGGGCAAAGTGGAACCTTGATTTTTTCCCTCACCTAGCCCAGAATCAGCATCGGCAGCCTCTCAGCCAAACAGAGCCCTAGACATGCCATGATCTCGCATATCACAAGCTGACGGCCTCTGCCTCGACCTCAGCTCCTGCAATGGTGTCAGCCGGAGGCCTTCGAAAGTCTGCCGCACTCTGAACTCCAATTGCAGCCCTGTCTGGGCACCACACTGGGCCGGCATATCCTCTTCCCCATCCTGCCTCGCAAGTCGGAAGAAGGAAGAAACCCCTTTGGAGAGGCACACAGCCGTGGCAGAGGCCGTGCCTCGCCATATTGACGACAGGAGTGAAACGGGTCGTGCATAAAGGCGACTAAGTACACCACTGGATTCAATGCTGACAGAAGAACCTGGCAATATGCTGGTATGCAGTTGCCGGCACTAGTCGTCGCTACGTTGCAGCAAGCCCTCCCCTCCCCTCCGTGCTTTCTGCCTCAGAGCCAGATCGCGAAAATCCGTCACATCACAACCAACCAAGCTTAGCAGCAGCCCTGCAGAAGCTCAACCCAGCCTCTAGAGACCTCAGTCACTGCGAGCCCCGAGGCCTTTTTTCGACGACAGGGCGCACTGCTGATGCTCATCCGTTTGGATGGTCAGCTGCGGGGTGCCTAAGTCCTTTTTGCGACAGGAAAGGGCATGGAAGTGGAGTGGGGCTGGTAAGGCTAAGTTCGCTGAAGCTCTACTTGCGGCTGGATTTCCCCACCCCCTAACTCGAGGTTGTGCCTGACTCCAACGAACCCAAGTCTGAAGACCAACACATGGTCACTTGCAACATGTGCCCAACTCTGAGAGCAAAGGGAGCCATCAGGACCCGTCGCCATCACGGGGAACACAAATTGCCACGGCTTTGCCTCACCGGCCAGAAAGCTTGTGGTGGCACTGCTGAACTTCGCAGAGACACGAATGGAGCGACGAGTGGCTTCCTGTCGCAGCTATGCTATGCTGACTGCCTGCTTGAGTTGCGGCATCCACGCGCTGAGCCCTGAGCTGGGGTAACAGGCATGAGAACGTGCTGAATACCCTCTTGCCGTCGCTGTACAACTTTCGGGTCAATCAAGCATCGACCACACTCCCAAGGCTGCGACGACATCGAGGGGGTGCTCTCCAGATTAGAGCTCTCATCCTGCACGGTCGTCGCTGATCGGACGTCGCCCCCTTCCACAAGAGCCTTCGCGCCGCAGCAACAAAACCAGAACGCCAGACACCCCGAACTCCGAGGCCCCGAGGCCCCGAGGCCCCGACCGGGCTCGCGGTTTTGGGCTGGCCAGGATCAGAGACGTAGCCTGGCCCAACACCACCGCAGCCACCGCATCCGCCACGCTCCATCTCAGGGCTCCGAGACCTCGCATCGTGCGCGGCGTTGGATCTGAGTCGTACCTGAGCCAGGCAGCTTTGTCAGCTCCCAGCAGCGGTTCGGGGCCCTCGGACCTTGCTGAGGGATTGAAGGGCAGCCTGCCAGGCCTCACCGAACACCGCACAACGTGCCTCAACTGCAGCTTCTGCTCTGTGGCTGTCGCTCGTCTCGCCATGCACCACCAATGAGCCAGTCGGTCCTATGCGAAAGGCTGCACACCCTTACAACCGGGCAGCATGCAAGTCATGTCTTGCGGGGATCCTTTGGCGGTGCTTCTTCACGATGGACTGTGAGAAGGGCGCACGAACTGGATGAGGAATCGCCTTCACAGGAGTCACAGGAGCCAGAGGAGGCACTTCTTGAGGAAGCCAGACAGCAGGAAACCACACGGTCGAAAAGTGCCGAACTCAGCCTGCGAACCATCCCATTCCGGCTGCTTTGGCCTGTCGGAACCGGAAAGCACAGTATGATAGAATGTCGTATGATGCGGTGACTACGTTGCCGTATTGTAACACGTAGCACCCATTGTATCACCGCACGGCAAAACTCATCTCGTGTTACACCACGCAACCGTGTCTTGTGCCAGAAATTGCCATATGACAGTTTGACATCCTGCTATTCTCCTGTCTAGCTAGCGGCAATGATGTGCAACTTAGAGAGTCTTCTCCGGCTCGGCCGCACCCCCTGACGAGTGTACTGGAGCTGTCAGGGATCAGGCACGGGCAGGCCGGCTCTTTTTTTTGCAGGTGCATGAGCACGCTGTCAGCGACCGCACGGCTTTGGAGAACTTTGGGGCTTCCGTCCAAGATCTACAGCACAAAAACTACTCCGGGGTCCAGAAATATATAGAAACTGGCCCAGAGATCTGCTCATCGTCTAGCTTCTTCGAGGGCCTTGCGAAGGCGATCCACTTCGTCCTGATCCTCGGCCAGAGCAGCCTCCTGCTGCTTTGCCCAGCCACTCAGGGACTCCTTCACGTTCTCGCCCGCCTGCTCGTACTCCTTGTTCCACTCATCGAACGCCTTCTCAGCCTCGGCCACGGTCTCGAAGACACCCAGGAGGTACTTGTTCCCGAAGGAATCAATGGCCTCGGACTTGTAAAGCTTCTCGGCGGTACCCCAGTTGTGCTTGAACCTCGGCGCATGGTGACACACTGCACCGAATTCCAGACAATTCCTGTAAATGGCCTCATGTCGCAGCACCTCTGTGTACGTTTTCATCAGTAGCCTGCGCAACGAAGTGAACCTGGCCCCGAGTCCAACACATGCGCCACAAGTGCCCAACTCTGGCAGTAACGCGAAACCGTGGCGACAGCAGAGTTTTGGAGGCACATATGCGAGTCGCAAGCCAAAAAATAACATGCAGGTCGCTAAGGGGGAAGCACGATTTCGGGAGGCAGATGCGGTCAGGACCGTGGCAGAAACCGAACGTCGAAATTCGCCACTTCCTAAGCCCGCTAGAATAGTGGGATCTCGAGCCCCGTGCAAGTCTCACAACCTCAAAGCTGGCGCTTCTGTCATATCTGTGGTTTCCTGTCTCCAAAGCGTGGCGAGAGTTGGGTGCTCTTGGAATGGTTCTTGGGTATGCGGCTTCTGCGATGCGAGGTGCGCTTTCACGTTTGGGGTCTGAGTCTATGGTAGCATAATTTGTCCAGAACTGAGATTCCGGGACGGTACACGTGGAACATGCAGTGCTCAATCTTGCTCACGGTTCCTGCTACCTTGGTCACTTGTCAGAGGAACGGAGGATACGTCCACCTCGAAGAGTCTTGTGACCATGCGGTTTCCGAAGGCTCAATGGCTCTCGCAAGCAGCCACGGCAAACGTTTGGCCTAGCTTTCAGCCGCGTGCTGGGCCGTTTGCAGGCTGCCACGGTCAGCAGAGCGGCACGACCAACAAACAGCAATAAACAGCAGCAGAATACAAAGGGCGGCCGCCCAGTCGCTCTGAAAATGTCCCGAAGATGTCAGCCGACACTGCTACATCTGGCGAGGAAAAAGTTTTCATTGGAATGGCAAGCTCTGGATTATTGGAGGATGTGAGGATGCAGGCACTTGGAGCTCCAACTCCATGCGACACTTCTCCACACAGCACGGTGACACTATGGGGCTCCTACGTTGGCAAAGTCGCGTACAGGTGTGACGCTCATTTCGGATAAGATCCGGATAAGATCGCATCCGGGCAGCTCGAATTCATGAGATTCATAATCCAATACTTCGAAGGTGCTTAACTTGCATGCGAGGCCAACTGGCTCCAAGCTGTCGGGTGTATGATGTTTCGAGTCGTGCAGTCTTGAGTCCGCTTTATTTCGGTCGGCGAGTACCTCAATAACAGGGAATGTCAGCACACACACACACACACGCACACACACACGCACACACGCACACACCCACGGCTGTCAAACAACGAAACGCACTTCGACTACTAGTAATAAGTGCCGCAATCGGCGTTCCTCCGAGCAGGGTGCAGTATACGCGTGGTCTGAGTCTTCGAATGTGTGTTTCGGCTGCGCTTTGCATGTTCGGATCTCGGGGAGCTTGGACTTAGCGATGCAGCCATCTGAAGCACTTCCGTGGAACCTTTGGAATGGATTGCCTGTAGAATTTCGAGTTTTGAGGTCTTCGGCCAAGTGATGATAGATTCTACGATAAGCAGCCACAAACGAACATGCAAGATGCGCTGCTGAGGGGTGCACTCGCCGTCCAGCTTCGCAGGAATCTTGGCGAGATCTGCAAGCATCTCCTCATCCAAAGGAGGCATCGGGGTGTCCGAGTACTTCGGCATGACCTTGAAAATCTCCTTCACCACATCGGCCTGCTGCAGCAGCGAGGGATCTGTCGGCATCACTAGCACAGGAAAATGTAAAACTCGCGCTGAATTTGGGCAACTACTCTTGGATCACCGAACAGGAGGATTTGGGTGTTCGACGGAGACGCCTTGGTCTTGCCCGGAGAGTCCTTCTGGGAGCGGAAGAATGCCTTGAGCTCTTGGACCTTCTTCTCGTTCTCATCCCGGGCCTCATAGTACGGCTTGATCACATCGGCGGCGGTCTTCAGGAACTCCTCCGGTGCTGTCCTGGTCTTGAACTCCTTGGTCTCGGCCTCGGAGTGGTTCGCTGCGAAGTCTTCGATCTCCTGCGTGAGAGGCGTACGAGAGCTCAGGATTTACCGCTACAGCACAAACAAGCATCGTAAGCTCCCTAAGGCCTAAGTCCAAAGAATGAGAGCAGTGGAAAGGAGTGGAAAGCAAGCAAGGGCTCCCTCTGCAAGGAGCCCATCTTCTTGGCCAAGCGCTCGTGCAGCACGCGAGGGAAGCGCACCTTGAAGTCGTCCGAAGGCGGGTTGTCTTTGAGCACCTTCTCGATATCTTTCTTCAGGCCGGCCGGAGCGCTGGAAGCGCTGTTGGCGTCGGCGATGAACTTGTGGACCGTCTCCGCGGTGTCCTTGGAGAACTTGTACAAATCCTCGAAGGGGGCGCTGTCCGAGGGCTCCTTGCCTTCAGCCTCTTCCACGCGAGCCTTCATGGATGCGTACATCCAGCGTCGGTCGGCGTCACGGTCGATCTGCACGACACGTCGCTTCAGGCCGAAGTCGTAGGAGACCAGGGCCGCCTTGTTCTTCAAGGCGTCATAGTCCGGAGTCCTCTGATCGGCATCCTGGCTGAGGGGTACTGATAGACTCTGGTAGCACTGCGTATAGACCAATCCAAGCCCTCCCACCCCTTTTTTTGCAAATCAACCGACATCAACAACAAGCGAGGTCCTTCTTGTAGTCATCCTTCTCCTCAGTTCGGTAGGCATACGGTCAGACATGCTGGAGCATCTGGCATCTGGACGAAGACACAACGAATCTTGAGTTTGGTACAGAGATCGATGCCATTCTACAAAATCATCGGTCATCATTCGGACCCGTTGCTTTGGATGTCAGATTGTTCTAGTCTAGATCCTCCATCCCCAGCCAAAGTGGAGCCAAAGGGTAGCCAAGTCCGGGCATGTAAACACTGGACAGCAAGATGTAGTAGAAGTCTGGAAGCCCAACGTACCATCTAGTGCTCCTCTGCTGAAAAAAGAAGCATTCGAGGTGTAGCCGAGTGTCGTTGTCGAAGAACTTCTTCAGAACCTTGGCGAAAGACTGGATCTTCTCTTCCGGGAGGTCCTTGCTGAAATCGTCGCTCTTACGGAACTTCTTGTCGAACTCGTTCTGGGCCTGCTTAAGCAACAAAGCCTGCTCGTCCTTGCTCAGGGAATCCTTCCAGGCATAGAAGTCATCCTTGAATCCCTGCATGGCGGTGCGGCTTGGCTTCTGCAGGGATCCTGCGGTGCCCACGAAGGACTGCGAAGGCCCTGTCAGCGACAAGAGACACCAGGCGCCGACGCCCAGAAGCAGAGCAGGAAGCAGTCGAGCAGATTGAGTCATCGCTGCGGCTAATTGAAGAACTCGTGTCAAACCCTCTTTTGCTGAGCCGGCGTCTGCTGCACAGAGATATCAAAGTAGCTGGCATTCACTGGCACTGCGGTAATTGCTTGCTGGCTTCTGGACGCTCAAGTGACACACCAGTGGGACACCGCAGCGAAAGCACAAAGTCTCAGAAGTCAATGGTGGAAACGAATTGAAACGAAGGACACTCGAAGTCTTGCTGCCTTAGCAGAAAGCCTCTCTTCTAGGTGCACACGGCAGACGAAACCCTTGTGCCTTCGACCCGCGCCGGCCGACTTCGCTCGACCTGGCGGGTCACTTTACAGCGGCTCGCCCCCTGTTCCGACGCTCGGATGAAGACAAGAGACGAACACGCGAGTTGCGAGACAAATCAGCAAAATCGCTGAGCTAAATATCTGCCGCTGTCGGCACCGAACTCCACACGTTGAACTGCAAATCCATGCCGGCAATGCGCTGCATCCCGAAAGGACTGGGCTTCGAAGCCTGCACACTCCCATCTGCGCGCTGGAGTTCAAAGTCTACGTGTGCAGTATTGGACGGAGATGCAGGCCGTCTGCTTCCCTGGAGTAGAAGGCGACAAACCTCCAGTGACTGTTAAGCCATGCTAACACTATAATCACTACAAGCATCAGCAAAGGCAAAAAAGGCCACAACCTTGTTGGAGGCTGGGAACCTCACAGGCGACCTCAAGCAAGTCGCAGCATGGCCAGGACGGGTGCAAGCAGGAAAGTCTCCCTTCGGGCACAAGGCGGCGACCAACTGCAGAGCTGCATCAAGGAGGCTTGCCGAAAAGCCGAAAGTCTCGGGAACATGTTTCTAGACATGCTGGACTGCTGCTATACTCTGCTTCACTTCTTGGCACAGGGAAATCTGCGACCTGCCTCCAGGCGAGCGACCAAGCCTCGTGCGGATGTCAACACAAATCAACAGACAGGAAGCCCGCTCTTGAGCTTTGCAGACATTGCAGACCAGCGCGGGGGTTCGTGTCAGAGCGGCGACCTGCCTTCTTATGGCAGGCTGCACACTCAGTAGAAAAGAGCGTCTGCTACAAGGAACGGGTGGAGAACCTGCCATCAAGGCCTCTCAGACAGCGCCAAGCTCTCGGCTTGGCCTCTAGGAGCAGCATATACGGGCGATGTACTTCCCAACGCTCTTGAAGAAAGAAGTTGGCGGCCGAGGCCGCAAAAGCACCAAATGGCCTCGATCTTTCAAAGCTATGATCACTTGATGCTGCACTTATGCAGAATTGAGAGCTCAAGAAGCAAAATCGAATTGACCCAAACTAGCCCCACAAGACAGCTGCCAGTAACGAGGCTACTAGCTGCTAGCTCCAACTTGGGATGCGCAGGCTAAGAACGCAGTGGTCGAGGCACGCATGCGCTTTGAAGTCAGCGACTTGCTCTCTGGTGTCATGAAGTATTGGTTCTCTGAAACCTCGCAGCTCGTCCTGGGCGTTGCAGCTAGAAACAAGCAAGAACCGGTCTCATCAGCCGGAGTGTCAGGGCGCATGCAACGTGTGCTCCAATCTGCGTGAAGGGTCTGGTCGTTCGTCTTGTACATGTTCACCATGTTGGTCAGCGTCGTGGCCTGACACCGGCTCTAAATACTTCGGCTATATTGTGTTATAGTCTTACAATATGCTTTATTGTATCATATTACATTGTATCATACTAAGCTAGACTATATTATATTGTATTGTAATATCCTATAGTCTAGTGTGTTAAACTGCTGTATCTTATTCTATACTGTACTATACTACCCCATGTTATCATGTTATACTATACTATATCATGTTACTTATGTTGTGTGGTGTTACACTCAGTTTATTTATTTTATACTGCTATTATTTCATGTTATGATATATGATGTTAAAGTCTCGACATAAACTTGCAATATGAAAAATATGCTATATTACATTATAGTACATTATAATACGTTATAATATTTCGCATTGAACAAGACTGTACTATGCTATGCTATACTAGACTATACTGTGTTAACATAAAAAAATATTTTGCATTTTGTGGAAACATATGTTGTATGTTTTATGTTATGTTATACTATGGTGTGCCATATGATACCATACCACCGAGTGTCATATCATATTTTACTATGGTATGCTGTAGTACATATTTCTCACATTTCTTTTTACATTATTATATTATACTATAGAATACTATGCTTTGCTATGTTATTTTGTGTTGTAGTATGCAATGGCGCATTATATATTATGTTCTATTCTATTCTACTTTATTCTGGTATAATATAGTCTAGTATAGTATGGTATGGTATGGTATTTTTGTCACTCATTTCTATGGCATGGTACGGTATACTTTGGTTTGTGGCATATGGCATTGTATGGCCTAGAAAAACTGCCTTTCTTGCTGCTTCTGTTTCGCGCCTCATCCTCGAAGAAGGTACCGAAAAGGCATGTCCCCTTTGCCGCCGCACGGACAATGGACCCGATGATGGGAAACCAAGTTCCCCCTCCTGAGCTTTGGGCTTCAGGTCTGGACTATGGCAACTCGGACAAAGCAGGTGAGGTCGGTTTGGGTTTCCTTCCCACCCGCACAGCTGACTAAGTCGCACCGCTTGGCTCGGTTTTAGGGTAAGTTTAGGGTTTAGGGCCCACTGCAGATTCAGAAACAGTTCGTTGCTACAGTAAGTGTAGATGTGCAGTCTGCGCAGGGTTTGCTTTGTACTTATAACATCTGTCACATTGACAGGACTTGGTCTGCGGTCTGCTCCGTTGTTGTCGGCGAGGCTTCCCGCAACCCGCCAACCGTGAAAGGGCTGCTCTTTTCTGCACCTCACCGCAACTGCCAGTGAGTGCCACTGACATGCTCCTGGGAACGAGATGAGAATGACGTGGTGCCGCTGCAGACTAGTCAGGCTTGAAGCACGGGACTGGTGGCGCAAGCAAGTTACATCCAGACGAGCTACGTGTAACTTCGGGATGTGTGGCCACAGTGAGCGCTGCCCTCGGCAGCGAATCGATGTGGAGGTCGCGAACCGACAGTTGGACCTCACTTGACGCACATCGAGAAACCCCTCGGGCTCAGCCATGCTGAGGCACCAAACATCCTAGCTCAATGCAGCTGCGGCACCTCAATTTGTGGATGGAACTCTGCAAACCAACGCTTGGCAACCGCCCAGTCGTAGTGGTACTTGTCCTGGCTGTCTGTAGCGAAGATCCGGATCCCCTTCACCCCAGGCAAAGTCAAACAGTGCTCGGCCAGGAAGTTGCCGAGCATGGCATACTCTTGGAAGCGCCCACAAAAGGGTACGTTGACCACAAGCATGCCATCAGTATCGGCCTCCCGCTAAACAAAACGGATCGCTCGGCGCCACTCAACCGAAAAATCCCGAAAACATCCGGAACGGCTGTGCGCAGAAATGCCTGCAGGGCCCTGAGTCCGCCAGACTGGCGGAGGTGCTCCAAGGCTGCCAAGTAGGATCCTCGAAGAGTCTCAGTTTGAGGAGGGTTGCGGGCCACCTGGAAGCAAGAGAGCGTGGACTAATCGACCTTTCACTGCTTCAAAAAGAGACTGTGCATGGGCGAAGGCCTGCAAGAGCTCGACGATGCGAACCACAGCCCATGTGCCCTCGAGGTTCTTCAGCTCCACAAGATGGCCAGGCTGCACGTTCTGACCGGGGCGGCACGGAACTCTACAAAAGCTGCTAGGTTTCAGGCTCACTCTGGTGCCGCCGTGAGCCGCCTCCGGCAGCTCCAAATGCAGGAAGGTTCCATCTGGCAGCTGGGGTTTCAGAACCTGAGCCCAACATCCGAAAGCCCCCGAAGGCCAGCCGAAGGGCGGCAAGTACTGCCGGCGTTCCGGGCCTGACCGGGCTTCGCTCCCGGTGGCACGGCAAAAGTGAAGTGCGTCGGCTTCCTGGCAGGGTCTCCCAAAACAATCGCTGGTCTTCGGCGCAGACTCTCCAAGCCGTCCTTGTGAGCCGCCATTTGCCATCCGGCCGCTGTGTCGCCATTGCCGTCTCGCCTCCCTGCAACCCCTGGCTCAAGGACACGCCAGCTACAGGTTCAGCCTCTAGGCAGAGAATCTCACGCCTCGGGCATCTGCACCGATACTTTCTCGCCCTCTGGCAGCCGGAACGTAAGAAAGCAGCCCGGCTCACCTGAGCAGGCGCAACAAAAAATGCTGGGACCGTCGACCGCTTACCCCGGCGAAGGAAAGTCTCGATGACCGGCCCTGTTCTGCAGGCACGTCACTTGTGGAGGGCAGCTGGAATGAAAAGCGCCTGGCCGCTTGGCGTTCAGATCTTCCCGTGCTCATTGCAACTTTATAGCAACATGATCGACATGAGTGCGCACTGTCGTCCCTCTGTTTTGTGTTCGCGTATCTTGCCTGGCCTTTTTGCAGAGGGCAGGGTCACTGCCTCGTCCCAACTGCAAGGCTCCAGCACGAGCCTCAGATGCAGACCAAGGTGTCTGCGCAGCCAGGGCTCATGTGCAGATCACGTCCTAGGGGAAAACGAGGTGCCGGCGACGAATCGGTACACGGCTGTTGATGCGATAGCATCGTGAGAGGGGCAGGTGCTCAGAAAATCGACGAGGTTTAGCATTAGCTCTTCTCCTGATGCTTGCAGCCGATCGCATCGTGAGGGGCGGGTTCAGCATGAAGAAGCTCCGCCGCACTAATTGGAAATGGACTCTTCTGAAGCCTACGGCATACGTCACCTGGGCACTGGGCACCAGGCAAGGAAGGGTCGCAATCATCAGCCGTGAGGACCACCTTCGGCACCTCGATTGGGCACAACCTGGCAGATCTCAAAGCTCAATATACGCCTTCATGCACGCCATGCACATCCATGCACTGCGCAAGCACTCTAAGCCCATCGTAAAACATGCAGTGCCTGGCCTGGTAACAATCTTGCCCGACTCGGGGCTCGTGTCTGTAGTGTCGGCGTCTTCCATGGCCGAAGTCTTGCTCCAATCTACAAGAGATTGAAGTCACATGCAGAGGATGCTTCAAAACACCACATACTGAGCTTGACTTACATGGCTACCGCACGGCAAGCCCAGGGCGGACTTGTCAAACGAAGTGGCTTGCGCACCGAGCGTGCAGACATGACGAGTTGTTCTCGCTTGGGCCAAACGGGCAAGGTCGTATGCTGAGTTGACAAGCACCATGACGCGACTAAGTGCAACATGGAAATGCCCAGCTGCGCACTTGCCATTCGCGGCACTTCGCCACAGAAGCCTTCCCGTTGCGTCAGGGATAGAGAAATGGAAAGACTCAAGCCAAGCGTAGGCACCCAAGTAGCAAGGCGGGCGGACATCTGAAACAGTATCCTTCAAAAGAGAGCGCACGGGGCGCCTCCTGGACTTAAAACCTCCCAAAGTGCAAGTTCCAGGGAGGGCACCTAATGCGGTCAGCAGCTGCGCGGCATGTCGACTCCCAGAGGCCTCCGCTGGCACTTCTGTTTTGCAGCTGCACCGAAAGGTATAAGCAATGCGTGCCTCCCAGCCATGTGGCCGATGATGCACTGGCACTGTCCGGATGGTGGCAGCCTGAACAAAGCTCGGAACAAAAATAATCTCGCCCTTGTCGGAGGCGCACCGGTGCACACGCGCCCGTGTCTTGCGGGCTTTTTCAATTGCTCACGTCAGCCGGCCTCGACCCGGAGGGCCCCCCTGTGAGGAGCCTCCGGGCCCAAGGCCGAGGATCTCCAGCAGTTCGCCGGTGCGCGCTGCCGTTCTCCAGCGCTGGAGGAGCTCTGGGTCCACGGCCGCGAGCACGTGACCGGCGACTGCCGTCGGATCGCGACTGGGAGGGCGCCCGACCCCTATCCGCAGCCTCTTCACTCCAGGGTCCAGTGCTTGAAAAACGCTTCGCACACCGCGGTTTCCTCCATCAGATCCCCCAGATCGAATTGCCCAGCAGAAGCACTCAAGGTCTATGTCGTCGTGCAGGAGGATGAGTTGACGGGATTCCAGTCCAAGCACTGTGCAGGCGCGTCGGACTCCCCACCCTGACAGATTGTAGAAAGTGCCAGGAATCAACAGCTTCAGCCCGGCAAGCTCACCTGCACCTGCATGGGCAATCCAGCCGAAGCAACTCCACCACCACTCCCACTTAAGGTCTAGATCCGCTGCCAGTGCTTCAACAACCAAAGAGCCCAAGTTGTGCCGCGCCAACTGCGGAAAGGGCCAGGGATTGGCGAGACCAACCAGTAAATGCGTCATGTCTAGCGATAGCTGTAGAAAGGTACCACCATCTTATCTGGGCACTATCTTGAGGTGAGCATCCCAAGTTTGGCGGGAGAGCTGCGGAAGCTTTGAGCGCGCTTGCTTGGGCCTGACCGCTGTTGGAGTGGCCTAGAGACTGATCATTGTCGCCATGATTCGCGGCATCAAGCAGCAGCACATCACGACGATTGCCATCACCGCCACTCATGACAGCGTCGTCATCATCACCACCATCACCATCATCATCAGCATCATCAGCATCACAAGCATCATCACCAGCAACAGCATCCGATCCGCACCTGCACAGTCGTCATCATCAACACCATCATCATGAGAACAAACAATTCCATCATCATCGTCACCATCACCATCACTATATCATCCATCATCATCCTCATGAACATCTGACATCATCTCATCGTCCTATCGACTTCGTCCTGTTCCGTTGATCGGCCAAAATGCAGGTAAGGGGCTCGATGGCAAAACGGCAGAAACCGGAGAAGCAACACAACAATCAGTTCAGTGACGCCTATCACACCACCGTCAAACCGTGGAGAACATGGCTGACACCGCACAAACATCTTTACTCTCGCACTGGCTCGACTGAGCATGCACTGAGCAAGCTCGCCTTGATGGTCAAGAACCAAGCATAGTCAAGCTCTTCCTTCCAGAGCTTGCCTGGCGTGGTTCGTGCTGGCTCCAAGAAAACCCATCTTACAAAAGCCATGCCCACCTTCGGATCCATCCTTGTTGAAGCTCACCAAACCACCTCTGTGGCGCTGCAGTCTAGCAGTCAATAGAAGATTGCAACTGCCATGAAACCGCCTTGTACCCTGCAGGCACCTCTCAATATCTGGCTTCTAGAGTCTCGGATCCCAGCGGTAGATCAAGCCTGCATCTCCAGTCAGACCAAGCCTGCAGATGGAATGCTCAGGACACACAGATATCGGTCGTTGGCTGAAATTTCAAGCTCCTCTCACCTCCTGTGTACAACAGCTCTCACCAGGCAACAATGGAAAGCGAGGAGCAACGACGGTCGAATCCCGCAAGTTGCTTGCTGAGCTTTTGCTGCATTCCGAAGAATGCATTGCACAACGAAGTCTCAGGAAGCAGTCTCGGACTCTTCCGATGCCCTTTCTGCACGCCTCGCGTATGCTCAAGCGAGCCCACGCCTTGAGTATGCCTGTTGGAACTGTTCCGAGTTGATGGATTTTACCTGAAAGGTTCTTCGATTGAAAACACCCGAACTCAACAAGAAACTCTGCACCCGCCTCTGCAGCTGCTGAAGACCCGTTGCTCAGCAGACCCCACGCCTCAGCGCGTGTTGCGGTAAGGCTGCTGCAGTGGCAGGCGATATCAGAGCTTCCGGCGCGGTTGAGATGATACCCCAACAGCTTGAATACTTCCTGGCCAGCCCATGGGGCGTTTGATGACCCGAACTTCCAAAGCCAGACACTGTCCTCCATATGTTACAAACTCCACATTCTGAGTGTTGCTTTTCTCGGCGCAAGCGCCCTCTCATGGAGGCTTCAATGGGCGCAAGACAAGTACACAGCGAGCGAGCAGCCGGCCCTAGTGTCAGTCAGAAAATGTAAAGACGAGACCTGCGAATACTAGCCATGACAAGCCACCATTGCGTTTTGACTACTCAATGAAGGAAGAAGAAGCAAAACAAAAAGTGCAATGCAACAACAAGATCCGACTTCCACCGAGTCCTCGGTGAAAGCATAGAGGTTCGCTGCCTCGGCAGGCCTGGGCGATTCAGGCGGGGTGCGAGCAGGTGGAGCTGCTTTTCGCAAAGACCACTGTCCAACCACAGATCTCAGTAATTTCCCTGTCCGACTGTCGAGCCTCCACGTGATATCTCGGATGTTCTCAATGCCCGGTCCCTTACACCGGATCTTTGAAATTTGGTCCCGGAATCTGGAGAAAGTGGTTTCGGGCCAGGTCGGCCATTGCTGGAGCTCTCCCTGCCGTCCGTGGAGTTTGGCAGTGCACCCCCCGAGGCCCGGCAAATGCAGCCTTGAGGGGCCCAACGAGCAACGCTTGCGAGATGTCTTTTGGAACACTACAGGCCGTCCCATTTTCGTGGACTAGTGACTAGTGACTAGTCACGCCTGCATGCCTATGCGCGGCACGCTGTGACAACCTGCAATGCCCGCTTGGCAGGAAACCCTGCTGCAAGCCTTTCCTCGTGGGCACCACATTTGCCGAGGACCGCCACAGCACGCACATCTGCTCGCACTGCAAAGCAGGCCGCAGCTGAATGCACGCACGCACCATCTGCACCGCGCAAAAGAACCTTGAAGCCTGCATCTTTCTGTACTTCGGCCTTGCACTGATCGTTTGCTACATGTGTTTAGCCTTCCTGTCTTGCCTCTGCTGGCCCAGGCCGGGTCACGACACTCGATGACGGGCCCAGCTTTGGCCAGATCTCCACAGCCATCGCTGAGTTCCGCAACGCAAGATCACAGATCTCGAGCGGATGCTGCGGCCCGCCAGAAGGTCTCAACCTTAGAGAAATGGTTTCAAAATCTATAGCAACTTGAATGGTCAATGCGACCGGTGACTGGGATGCTGGACGCCTGCCAAACTGACGCAGCATCATCACCGCAGCCTTCGAAAAAGCTCACTAGACCTCTACCGTCTCTACATGCCGCTGGGCCATATTGTAAACCCAGGTCAGTTCCTGCAAGCTGCTCATGCAAGCTTGCACCTACAACTCTGCATACACGCTCCAGGTCGGACCGCTGCACGACTCCATGGCCTGCCAGCAGCGGCCACTGTGCAAGTCAGAACTCAGCAGCTCAGGCTGTGACATCCGGACACTTTTTACGCCAAGCGCTGCACGAGCCACTCCAGATCGGTGGCATCGGGTTTCCAGCCCGACAAACTCTTCCCGGTCCTCTTCGAATAGAAAAACCTGTGCTGGGCGAGCCGGTCGCGACACCGACGCCAAGCGACAGGAGAAACACGGTTATTGGGTTTATCCGACGTTGACATGACCATGTACGTACCGCGCAGACCAACTCATGCCCTTAGGAATGGTCGGTTCCTGAAAATGCTTCCCGGGGGCGGAACTCCGTTGCCGCCTAATCGCCGGAACTCCTGCACCGCCTGCACGAGCGTGGATGAATAGACAAAGCCCAAAAGAAAACGCCCTCACATCCAGTGCACACAGTGCCTCTTTCGACCACTCCACATCTTGCAAGTCGAAGTTTGGCAGACCACGTCGCTTCAGCAGCTCAAACGCTGCAACACAATGCGGGCCTTGGGCCGAGTTTACAGACCCGTCCTTTGCGTGCTCCAGGCAGCTCTAAACCTCCCAGACAACTGAGCCACGAGCAACCTCCTCGAGCAAACAGCACGATTTCCTTCGGTTGGACAAGAGCCATGCAAGGCCAACTAGGGCTGCGCCGATGGCCATGGCTCTTGATTGCGGTGCAGGCTCCAGCTCTTGGTAGCGCCGGACATCCCAGGGCAACTGGCCCTGGACCACAAGGTCTGACTATCTCAGAGCACCGTGATGAAGCAGCGAAAGTACATGGAAGTACTCTCTTCATTACCACACTTACATGTTCGGGACAAGTAGATGATAGTCAAACCCATAGCATGCATCCATCGCGCTGGTAAGGTTCACGGCAAGGTGTGCAAAGAGCCTGTAAACAGGTTTCCCTGGCGCACCAAAAAGCAATTAATCGCTTTAACTTAAGCGGTGGCACCTGCACTCTCTCTCGCAGAAGGGATCATTGCGCGCTGTCACTGGTCACAAACGCTCACAATGCTACGCGGAAGCGAAGTGTCCCATGAAGCCCAAACCAACAGCACTAGCCCCCTTCTGACTGCGCCACGCCATTGGGGAGAGTGAGTGCGGTGCTGGGACGAGTTTTGCCACTCCTTATCGGTTCTCTGCTTCGTCTTCTTACAGAGTAGAGCAGGGCTCCTAAATAGTCCAGTGGGCCTTGGTCGAGCTCCCGGTCGCTGCCTTACTCGAGCTCGCCTTTCTCGAAGTCGACTCTTCGGTCTTCGCCTTGGTCCTCGCACTCATACATCTTGGGCCGGGCTCTCTTTGCGAAGTCCCCGAGCTGCGCCTCAGAATCTTCTGCGCCTCCTTGGCCCTCTGCAGGAAGTCATTCCTCTCCAGGAGATCCCGGGAGCCCAGACCAGCCTCGCGACTCTTTGGGGGCCCTTCAAAACACACCCCGGCGCGCCCGGGAGCCTCGTGGATGAGAGCGCGCAGCTCGGTGATTGACATGGAGGCCACCTCCTCGTCCGCGACTTCACCGGTGCCTTGTCAGTCGTTACGGCGATGTATTACGTACTAGCTCGAGAAGTGCACAAGTCCAAGGGTCTGGGATCTGCTTGGCACGTGCTGAAAGTTGTCTTTCCGGAAGCCACCTTCCTGCAACATCCGCATTCAAGGGCAGAGAACAGGCAGTGGCAGGGTGCACCTCAACTTCTCCACCAGATCGCGCTTCTCAAAGCAGTCCTGTCTTGGGCACATATTTTGGACAACGACAACACCCGAACTAAAACGGCTTCCAACTCCCAAAGCCTCCGGGTCCACCCCGCGCTGTCTCGCCAGATCCTGGAGCTCCCTGATGGACAGAGCCTTCCAAAAGAAAGGGTTTAGGAAGTTTAGGACTCTGAAGGGCTGCGGGCGAGTTATCGTGAGAGCTGAAAACCCGGGACCCTCCGAGTGGTTTGGCCGCAGAACAGCCTCCCTCTTTATCGTCGGTACCTGGGCTCTGTTGCTCTTTCCACAACGCTTGCCTCGAAGTCTTGTGCCGAGAGCCCCCTGGCCTGACAGCTGGGAGCCGCAACTCTACGAAAATGGCGTGACTCCCTCCTGTCCCATCTGCACCTGTAATGTCACATACTGTCACTGCATCCCACGCCAAACAATCTGCGAATTCACCGCACCTGAGCGATGAATCCGCCTTGAGGCAGACTCAGCAAAGCTCCGCAGCGGCCCAGGCGCCAAGCTGCTCGAGCAGCGGGCGCAGCACATCCGCGCATGGCGTCGCATGCAGCCGCGGACGGGATGAGAGTGGCAAAGAGTGACTCACATGGAACATCCGGCTGAAAGGAGATCGAGCTCACTTCGCATCGATTACAGATCTGACGCAATGCAGGCAGGCACGTCCATGTTCCGACACATGTACTCCTTTGACTCAATTGACAATCTGCAGACAAGCCGAGGCACGCAGTGAAACTGTGCCACCAACTGCACGGAAACCGCACAAGCAGTGAATGCTTGTAACTGCCGCACTGGCAACGGGCCCGATCCTCGAACATCGAGATCTAACCGCCAAGCCCGCAGCACAGTGCCCCGGGTCTTCCTGGCACCATGAATCTGTCAAGATGCACACTTCTGATTCGCAACATGTATGTGCCAATGCCTCAGGGCTTCGCAGAAGCACTTCAAGAGATTGGCTTCCGCCTTCTGACGAAAACTCTGAAGCCTGGCCAAGCTAGCGACTGAAAGCGCGAGGAACTTGAGGTGTGTTGCCCTCCCCAGCTGGCCAAACGCGCCAGCCAGGCTGTGATAGAGTGATGCTTTCCACACCTCAAGGAGCAAAGGAAGGAACGTTCTCGAAGAGAGGCAGAGGCGCCCTGGTGCCTTCTCGCAGCCGGTGCTGGTCCTAGAGGTGCTGTGGGGAAATGTTGCATGGGCGACGAACGTGCGAGGTGGGTTCATGCAAGTTCCGCAGATGCCTCAACCTCGCACCTTTGGAAGATGAGCCGCACCAAGGTCCGGGCATCAGCCTGACGACTCTCAAACGAGAGACAGCAATGAGAAAAGCTCTGGGACTCCAAGATAGCGAAAGGTTCAAAAGCAGCGATGCTACAGTAGGGACTGCGACACCAACGCACAGCGTCGCACAATCAGAGAGATGTAGCTGTCAGGAGCTGCCAGCCTTGAACCGAAGGCCTTGCAGAAATCGAGTGAAGTCCTCACAGCTGCCAAAAGCTCAAGCTGCGAAGGTCCGCTTCGAGGAAAAGTCAAGTGCAGGACTTCTGCCGCGACACTCCGGGACCTCAAGACAAAACATGCGTGCGCCAACAAACCACACCATGAACCATCATACTTGCCGCCCCTGAGCGAGCAATATACCAAGGCCGGTCACCAGATTACGCGCAGGACGGTCAAAGCCGGCTGAGCTCCGGGCTTTCTCTCGCCGCTCCCGCCTAGGTATGCGGCGCTGTAAAAGGGCGTCTGCTCCCCGACTTCGCACACCAGTCGTAGGCGAGAACTGGGTTGCTTGGAACCGACCTTCCCAAACATTCAGTGGACATGGCCGCGGTCTCGAGCTTCGGAGATCTTCGGAGCCTGCTCGGCGTTCTTGTCGACAAAGAGGTCTTGCAAAGGCTGCCAGCCTGGGGATTCAGAGACCACCGTTCTTGAAATGAGCCGGCCCATCCAGGCGCGGGCAATGCAGGACCCAGCGTAGGAAATACCGTTCCACCTGTGAGACAACGCATAGCTTCTGCCTTCTAGCGCAATGTTTCGGGCTCCGGTTTGTCAGCTCACCCCCCAGCGCCTGCCTCCTCTTCCACTTCAGGCTGAGGACTGACCACTGGAGGTGGAGCATCCTGGGCCGCAAAACAGCCGTGCGGGAAGGAGCAAAAAACGCCCCATGGGGCTCCAATGCCTTCGCGGTCTGTGGCCACCCGCCTGGAGTCAGCAGCTTCACCTGCAAAGACCGGAAATGGCAGTGCCGGATTCTGTCATAATGCAGGCCTCCGCAACTGCAGCGATTCAAGTCGAATCAAGACGCAACCGCACGGCTGCCCTGCATTCTCCAAGCCGCGCTCAGTGTCACGCAAAGTCGAACTCGTCGCGCCAAATCTTCCCCTGCGGATGATGGCATTTCAGCCATCATCATCCATAGGCTATGCGAACATATGAACCGATAAAAAGATTAATAAACAAAATATTCAATGCATGCGTGCGTGCGTGGGTGGGTAGGTGGGTGGGCGAGTGAATGAATGAACGAATGAACGAATGAACGAATGAACGAACAAACGAACGAATGAATGAAATAGGTGTGCTTATGTGTATGTATGTATGTATATATATATATGTGTGTGTGTGTATGTATATGTATATAATATGTGTGCGTGTGTGTGTGTGTGTGTGCATGCAGATGCGTGTGTATGTGTGTGTGTGTGCATGCACGCGATATATCTACATATATATCTACATATATCTACATATATCTACATATATCTACATATATATCTATATATATACACATATATTATATTATTTACCTATTTTATTATTTACTTACTTATGTTATGTATATATACATACATATGTGTACATATAGACATATAAACATGTATACCTATGTACCCATATACGAATAAACATACATACATACATATGTACATACATACATATGTACATACATACATATGTACATACATACCTGCCTACCTACCTACCTACATAGATACATACATACAGAGAGATAGATAAATAGATAAGAAAAAATGAATACACATATATATATATATACATATATATATGTATACATATGTACATACATACATATGTACATACATACATACATAAATACATACAGGCATGCATCCGTACATACATACATACATACATACTTACTTACTTACTTACTTACTTACAGACATACGTACATACATACATACATGCATACATACCTACGTACATACATACATACATACATGCATATACATGCACGTACGTAGGTACGTATGTACAAATGTACGTACGTACGTACGTACGTAGGTATGTATGCATGCATGCATGCTTTACATACAGATATTACTTCTTCAACACAGACAAAGGGAAGGCCTCTCTCTCTCTCTGCCGTTGCATATTACTTGTATAACTTGTTTATGTACATAATATTCGTCAATGCTTCCACCTTTGCGCCAAATCATCGCAGACATCAAAGAGCGGCCATGCAGTCGTTTCCCTTCCGCGTTCCTTCGCGGGATGTCAGGTAAAGGCGTGCACCTCATGCTGCCCGTTTAGAGCGAGCACTAGCTGTACAGGCAAGTTGGGTGCTTGGGGTCCACCACTACACATAGATTCGGCGAAGCGTTGCTGACAGGAGTCTAGCTTATCAGAACCACTTCTCTATGTGAGAGCGGACCTCCATCCAGCTTTCGAAAAGATCCCACTCTGCAAATGCAGGATCTGCGAAATGTGCCCTTCTGCAAGCTCCAGGCAAAAATGCGAACAAGATCTTTTTAGATGTAGCTGCTGACAGTGGGTACTGTTTGTTTACATACACTGCAGCCGGGACACGCATGTCATGCTACGAAGATCTACTGCCAAATGCACTACATGGGAAAAATTGTAATTATTCCAGATGTAACAATGCGCACGCACACCCTCGATGGAGTGCGTTCTCGGTCGCCCTTTATGCCTCTGTCATCGGCGATCGGGACAATCGCCAGAGGCAGCACAGAGCCCCGGCTGGTTCGATCAAAACCACTGCCTCAGATCTGGCATGCAAGGAAAAGTTTGGGGTGAGCTACAACAGACATGCTCAGCATCGCTGACTTCTTACCCAAGTTGCCACAATAATAATTTCACCAGGAAGTGGAAGCCCTGGACATGCAGGCACGCCGTTGTCAGCGATTAAAGTGGGGAACGCGGAAGATCCATTTCTCCATGTCATAGGAAATGAACTTGCCCCCGAACTCCTTCGTTGGAAAGGATGGAAAGGATGGAAAGGGGAGAGTCCGAGTGGAAGAGCAGTTCAGGCGGGAGATCGCAGGCCTCAGAGAGCTTCGAGAGCCGCGACTGAAGCAGCTCCAAGCTCTTGGGCTTCACATCGCTCCTCTCCCAAGCCACCAAGGGGCACTGCAGACTTCCGGCCTTCCCCGCCCTCTCCCCAGCCTCGTCGGCTTCACGTGCAGAGTGACCACGGCCTCCTTGTTCAGGCCTTGGCCTGGGCAAGGGGGCCGAAGCCTGCTGTGCTGTGCTGCTGTGCTCCGAGGCTCGAACCCACCTCCGGCTTCTCCCTGGCCAGACAACACGAGGCTCTTCTTCAGGCTCAGAGGGCTCTCCTCCAGTTACCTCGCCTCTCTGGATACAGGGTCAAGCTTCCGCGTTCTATCCGGAGATCCCGGTCAAAGTCGTGGCAGCGAACGTCCGTCAAGCCTGCCAACCAGACTCAACAGGCGACAAAGCCTCGGAGTTCGAGCGCTACAAGTTGCAGCCCGCCTGGCCACTTAACAGATCCGTACCCGTAGCGGCCGATCTCCAGGTTGTCGATCCTGCTCAGCTGGGCCTCCGTCATTCGAGACATCGCTTCCTCACAGGGCATCAGGGCAAAGAGCGCAAAGAGCGAAGAAGCCCTCTATTTTTTGGTAAATGACGCCGGGGCAGCGGAAGCATGATCGGCTGCTCATCTTGATGCCGCTCGCTTGCTCTTGACGCTTTTCGGACTGATCTTTTCCCGCCGCCAGTCGGATTACCACTCCCGGAAATCTCGCTGCAACTGCGTTCACTGAAGCCAAGCCAAGCCGAACCAAGCCAAGATAGCAGGAAAAATCAGAGCTCTTCTACACACCACCACCACCACCACCACCACCACCACTTCTACCACCACTACTAC